ATTAAATTCTCAGTAAATTCCCAGTAAATTCTCAGTAAATTCCAAGTAAATTACTCGGCAAATTCCCAGTAAATTCTCAACAAATTAATCAGTAAATTCCAAGTAAATTCTCAGTAAATTACTCATGAAATTCTCAGTAAATTATTCGGTAAATTCACCGTAAATCCTAAGTAAATTCTCAGTAAATTACCTAATAAATTCTCAATAAATTACTCTGGAAATTCCTAATAAATTCTCAGTAAATTACTCATTAAATTCCCAATAAATTACTCAGTAAATTCCCATTAAATTGTAAACAAATTATTCAGTAAATTGCTAGTAAATTACTCAGTAAATTCCTAGAAAATTACTCAGTAAATTCCCAGTAAATTAATATGTAAATTGCCTTTAAATTCTAAGTAAATTCTAAGTTAATTGCTCAGAAAGTATATTCTGAGTAAAATACTCAGCAAATTTCCAGTAAATTACACTTTAAAATCTCAGTAAATTACTCTGTAAACTTCTCAGTCAATTCCAAGTAAAATCTCAATAAATTACTTATTAAATTCTTAGTAAATTACTGAGTAAATTCTCAGTAAATTACTCAGTAAATTCTCAAAAAATTCTAACAAATTCTCAGTAAATTCCCAGTAAATTCTTAGTAAACTACTTAGTAAATTTTCAGTAAATTCTCCATAAATTACCCAGTTAATTCCAGTTAATTCTCAGTAAATTATCAGTAAATTCCCAGTAATTTCTCAAAAAATTACTCCGTAAATTCATAGTAAATTAACAGTAAACTTCCTCTGAATTTTCAGTAAATTCTCAATAAATTACTTAGTAAATTTCCTGTAAATTCCTAGTTAATTTTAAGTAAAATACTTAGTAAATTCATAGTTAATTCTTTGTAAATTACTTTGTAAATTCTGATTAAATTACTTAGTAAATTCCTTGTAAATTCTTAGTAAATTCCCATTAAATTCTCAGTAAATTGCTCAAAAATTAAATTCTGAGTAAATTGCTCAGAAATTAAATTCGGAGTAAAATTCCCAGTAAATTCCCAGTAAATTACTCATTAAATTTGGAGTAAATTACTCAGTAAATTCCCTGTAAATTCTCTTTAAATTACTCAGTAAATTCCCAATAAATTCTTAGTAAATTACTCAGTAAATTCCTAGTAAAGTCTCAATAAATTATTTAGTAAATTGCCAGTAAATTTCCAGCAAATTACTCATAAAATTCACCGTAAATCCTAAGTAAATTATCAATAAATTGCCCAGTAAATTCCCAATAAATTTTCAGTAAATTACTCAGTAAATTACTCAGCAAATTCCCAAAAAATTACTCAGTAAATTTCCAATAAATTAATTTTTAAATTCCCATTAAATTCTCAGTAAATTGCTCAGAAAGTAAACTCTAAGTAAAATACTTAGCAAATTCCTAGTAAATTACACACTAAATTCTCAGAAAATTACTCAGTAAATTCCAAGTAAAATCTCAGTAAATTCTCAGTAAATTACTTTGTAAATTCTCAGTATATTTCACAGAAAATTTTTAGAAAATTACTCAGTAAATTACTCAGTAAATTCACCGTAAATCCTAAGTTAATTCTCAGTAAATTACTTAGTAAATTCTCAACAAATTACTCAATAAATTGCCAGTGAATTACTCAGTAAATTCCCAGGAAATTACTCAGTAAATTTTCAGTAAATTAATCTGTAAATTCCTATTAAATTCTAAGTAAATTCCTAGTAAATTATCAGTAAATTGCTCAGAAAGTATATTCTAAGTAAAATAGGAAATTACTCATTAAATTCTTAGAAAATTACTCATTAAATTCCCAGGAAATTACTCATTAAATTCCCAGTAAATTACTCATTAAATTCTTAGAAAATTACTCAGTCAATTCCAAGTAAAATCTTCATATATTACTCAGTAAATTCCAAGTAAATTCTCAGTAAATTACTTATTAATTTCTTAGTAAATTACGCAAAAAATTTCTATTAAATTACTGAGTAAATTCACAGTAAATTACTCCGTAAATTCCCAGTAAATTCTCAGTAAACTACTTAGCAAATTTCTAGTAAATTCTACCTAAATTACTTAGTTAATTCTAGTTAATTCTCAGTAAATTATCAGTAAATTCCCAGTAATTTCTCAGAAAATTACTCCGTAAATTCCCAAGAAATTATCATTAAATTCCTTCTGAATTTTCAGTAAATTTTCAGTAAATTACTTTGTAAATTTCCTATAAATTCCCAGTTAATTTTCAATAAATTCCTAGTTAATTCTTTATAAATTACTTAGTAAATTTCCAGTAAATTTTGATTAAATTACTTACTAAATTCCTTGTAAATTTTTAGTAAATTACTTAGTAAAATTGCAGTAAATTACTCAGCAAATTCCCGGTAAATTACTCAGAAAATTCCAAACAAATTCTCAATAAATACCAAGTAAATTCTAAGTAAATTTCCCGTAAATTCTCAGTAAATGCCCAGTAAATTCTCAGAAAATCACTCAGTAAATTCCTAGTAAATTCTTAGTAAATTACTCAGTAATTTCCAAGTAAATTTTCAGTAAATTACTAAGGAAATTCTCAGTAAATTATTTAGTAAATTCTCAGTATATTACTCAGTAAATTACTCAGTAAATTCCTAGTAAATTCCTAGTAAATTCTCAGTAAATTTCCAGTAAATTCAAAAAAAATTACTTAGTAAATTCCCAGTAAATTCTCAGAAAATTACTCCGTAAATTCTCAGTAAATTCTCTGTGAATTTTCAATAAATTACGCATTAAATTCACAGTAAATTCCTACTAAATTGCTCAGTAAATTTCCTGTGAATTCTCAGCAAATTCCCAATTAATTTTCAGTAAAATTCTTAGTTAATTCTCTGTAAATTACTTAGTAAATTCCCAATAAATTCTTATTAAATTACTAAGTAAATTTTGGAAAATTCTCAGAAAATTACTTAGTAAATTCTTAGTAAATTACTTTGTAAATTCCCAGTAAAACATCAGTAAATTAATAAGTATATTTCCAGTAAATTCCCAGTATATTTTCACTAAATTGCCAGTAAATTCTCGGTAAGGTACTTTGTAAATTCCCAATAAATTCTCATTAAATTACTTAGTAAATTCCACGTAAATTCTTAGTAAATTACTCAGTAAATTCCTATTAAATTCTCAGTAAATTCCCAGTAAATTCTCAGTAAATTGCTCAGAAATTAAATTTTGAGTAAATTGCTCAGAAATTAAATTTTGAGTAAAATACTCAGTAAATTCACAGTAAATTACTCATTAAATTCTCAGTAAATTCCCTTTAAATTTTCCTTAAATTACTCAGTAAATTCCTAGTAAATTCTTAGTAAATTACTCAATAAATTCTCAATAAATTACTCAATAAATTCACCGTAAATCCTAAGTAAATTATCAACAAATTACCCAGTAAATTCTCAGTAAAGTGAATTCCCAGCAAATTACTCAGTAAATTTCCAGAAAATTACTCAGTAAATTTCCAGTAAATTAATTTTTAAATTTCCATTAAATTCTCAGTAAATTGCTTAGAAAGTAAATTCTGAGTAAAATACTTAGCAAATTCCAAGTAAATTGCACACTAAATTCTCAAAAAATTACTCAGTAAATTTCTTAGTAAATTCCAAGTAAAATCTCAGAAAATTACTCAGTAAATTACTTAGTAAATTCTCAGCAAATTTCACAGTAAATTGTCAGTAAATTACTCAGTAAATTCCTAGCTAATTCCCAATAAATTACTCATTCAATTTCAAGTAAATTTCCCAGAAAATTCTCAATAAATTACTTAATAAATTCCCAGTAAATTCTCTGTAAATTACTCATTAAATTATTCTGTAAATTACCCGTAAATTACTCAGTAGGTTCTCAGTAAATTCACAGCATATTATTCATTAAATTCTTAGTAAATTACTCAGTAAATTCCCAGTAAATTCTCAGTAAATTACTTAGTAAATTCTCAGGAAATTACTCAAAAAATTCCTAGAAAATTACTGAGTAAATTCGCAGTAAATTCTTAGTAAATTCCTAGAAAATTCTAAATTCTCAGTAAACTACTTAGTAAATTTCGAGTAAATTCTTCGTAAATTACTTAGTTAATTCCAGTTAATTCACAGTTAATTATCATTAAATTCCTAGTAAATTACTCCGTAAATTCCAAGTAAATTATCAGTAAATTTCTTGTAAATTCCCAATTAATTTTCAGTAAAATACTCAATAAATTCTTAGTTAATTATTTGTAAATTACTTAGTAAATTCCCAGTAAATTCTGATTAAATTACTTATAAATTCTCAGTAAACTATTCTGTAAATTCCCAGTAAATTCTCAGTATGTTAGTCAATAAATTCTAAGTAAATTTCTCAGTAAATTACTCAGAAAATTCCTAGCAAATTCTCAGTAAATACTCAGTAAATTCCCAGTAAATTCGTATGAGACCCAATTTTTTTGTCATACACTGAAAACCTCGGAGCCTTAGGCTAATAGCATTTTAGCCCTAGTTCCGTAAAAGTCCTGCGTAAGGGCCCAAGTAAATATATAACTTCTCTGTGGTGTTACCATACAATAAAATCACTAGAACGCCACTTTACTGATTGGAACTATCCTAAACTTGGTTTTATTTATTTTGCCTCATAATTTCTAAATTAATTCAACGCATTTTATTTTATTTCTTATTTTTGTTTTGTTGTTCTTTCATTTATTATTCTATTTGAATGGGAATACTAATTGTTATTGGATCTATACATAGTTTAAATATTACATATATACTATAATATATATACTACGATATTATATAATATGTTGGTGGAAAAGTGATTTGGATAACACAACAAAAACAAATAAATAAAAATAAAATAAAAAAATAACTATTAGATATTAGTTCTCTTAGCCATTAGCTATCTTATATTATATAAATTGAGGGCTTGTCAAATCCACTCCCAGTTTTTCTAAAGCCCAAGGAGAGGGGAGAGAGGGAGAGTTGGTCAAGGGAAGGGAGATAGAGAAGTAAGAAGAAGAAGAAAAAAAAAGGGAAAGAGAAGGAATTCTTGAAGGTAAGAACATACAACTTCGCTTTATTTCTCTCATCTTTTCTCATCTCTCATTCTTAATGGTCTAGTATGCTTGTGTTACAAATTGATGGTAAATAGGGTGTTTTTGGTGTGTGTGAAGGTGTAGGTATAAAAGCTAACATTGTCTTGCAAACTTGTGAAATTGGCATTTGCGCTGCAAGCTTCTCTAATTTAAAAGAAATATCAAATCTATCTACTTCTCAAATCTGAATTTATTGTAGGATATTTTAAGTGTGTTTTATGAGCTTGTGAAATTTTATTAGCTTCCTAATTGTGTGTTTTAGGGCTGGATAATTGTTGAAAAATCTGGTCCTGAATCTCTAAAAAACAGTCAAACTTTAGCCAATTTTATAAATTCTAGACAAATCATCTCGGTTGGTTCTTCTGTCAAACTTTGAGAACTCTGAGTCCTCTTCCAACGATTTTATTGAGTGAAAACCATCAGGTAGATTGAGAGAAAGTTGTTTCCGCAAAGGGTGACAAATCTGGATAGATCTTCGAATATAGTTTGCTAGATGCAATTGTGGAGGGGCTGTGCAACTTCTGAAAATTGGAACTGAAACTAGACAGATTGAATATTGTTTTTGTGTAATTTCAGCCCCTAATTTGGCCTAGAAGTATTTTTACCAAAGCGTTCTTGTTAGCCCTGCAGAACCGAACAGTGCTGGAAATTGTGTTATATTATGTTATTTGTCTCTAAATGTTTCAAAGCCTTTTTAATGTTATCTTCTTACCTTACTATACTTATGTATGATGACCATGGACTATATTTCCTCTAGTATGTTTTTCCCATACTCGTTTAAATGACCGAATTACCGAATGTGACTAACTTACCTAGCAAAAGATCTAATAAATGGGAAATGATAAGGGGTTAGCAATGGGTGATGTTTATCTTAGTGTTTTAGAACAATTTTATACATATGCATGACATGAATTAGGATGGGATTAATACCAAATGAGTTAAGTTTTGCGTAAGCAGTTTAGGCGAGCCCCTAGGTTGACCCGGATGTATTCAGACTCTATGCGGTGGTTTCAGGGTGTAAGCGAGCCCTAAGCACGAATTGGTATGGTATGTGCAGGGTGTAAGCGAGCCCACTTGTTGGCCGTCCCTTTTGAGGTCCATCAATGCCACTGACAGGTAAATAACAGGGAGGTGGGCATGGGTGGTAAGGTCTGCAAAGCAGCAAAAGGGGGAGTTCTAAGTAGTCCAGTGTTTAATCTTGTGGTTGGGTAGAAGGATCTCTTTGGGGGGAATTCTAAATGCCTAGTCTAACTACTAATTTATAAAACCTTAATGGAAGTATGTTATGTTATCTGATTTGTTTTGTGTATGATTGATTGATAGAAGATATGGGGGTGTGTGTGTTTTTACTGGGCATTCCAAGCTCATGGCGTGTCATGCCAGGTGAAGAAGCAGCTTACGACGGGGAAGGTGATCCCGAAGACAATCAAGATGAAGTTTTAGAGCCGTGGTTCACTTGAAAACTTGGACTAGTAGTTTGTTTTTGTGTTCTCTCTTGTTTTACCTTTTGGTTTGACAATGTTTGTAAACCTCTAGTGGAACTCAAATCAGTTATCTATGTTATAACTCTGCTTGTATGTGTATATTAACATATTGTGGTTATCTCTTTTGTTTGAGTTGTACTTTATATATTTCTCTTGCGGTCTCAAAATTTTGGGGCGTGACAAATTGGTATCAGAGCCCTAGGTTCAACCCTTAACGCACACGTGTTGACTTGTGATTTTAGATATCCTTGCCTTTTACATTACTACTTTCTGTTAACATTATACTATATCATATTAAAGGTGGACTAAAAAAAAAAAATTTGTTTACCTACCGTAGGATGGATTCTGCGTCAGAAAGCGTTGATGACTGGGGAGTTTTTCGTTTCCAGAATAGGCGGGCAGTAGCTGTTAGTCCACAAAGACTTAACCGACGGTGTCAATTAGGAGCGGAGCGCGTGATAAAGAAAGCTATTCGGAAAACAGAGGAGGATTTTTCATACTACACCACGCAAGCAAGACGAGCGTTGGTACGCCGATGCCTCCAGTGCAAATACCAGGAGCTTAGGTTCGCTCTACAGATAGAGCGAAATGGTCGGACTTTTGCTGAGCTTAGGCAAGAGGTATTGGCTGAGGATCCGCATCCAGTGATGCGTCGCGTTGGACCCGAGAGCTGTGGCTCTCATCATCCTGAGTTAGAGGTTCTTTTTGTCTTGGTACATCTCGGAGCTTCCCCTGCATTCCCTATAGAGGTGTTGTCAGAGTACTCCCCTACACCAGCCCAGCAATTTCCAGCTTCCCCGACATATGCTCGTTTACCACCAGAGGATCCCGAAGAAGATCCCGAAGAAGACCCAGAGGAATCGTTTGACTTAGGGCTGTAGTAGTCATAGGACGAACCTTTTTGTGTACCTTTGTAAATAGTGTTTTGTGTGGTTGAAGCGTGTTTTGTTTTGGTGTATACACGCTACACGCTAACCTAGATAGTGTAACCCTTTGTAAGAAGAAGTTATATGTGTATATATAAAATATCTAGTTGGTTATTCCAGTGTATTGTATGTTATTTTATTTTATTTTGCTTGGTTTAATTGCATCATCCATTTAGAAAAATAAAATTAAAGTAATTAATTACACCTCGGACCACATTAAATTAGCCTATTTATTGAACACCTCTTCGCCTCCATAACAACCCTAAGCTTATATTACCCACAAACTTGGCAGATGGCAGACAATGTGGAAGCAAACGATCAAGTAAAACGCCGACGAGGACGTCCAGCTCGCAATCAAGGCGTTAATCGTGGTAGACCTATACCTGTTGAGGAGTTACCAAGACTGGTCGGAAACCAGATTCTTGTAGAGTTAGGAAGGCTTAGAACAACGCAACCAAATGGGCGGATATATTTGTTGTCTGAATTTAGAAAGCAAAGATCGCCGGTGTTCACAGGTGAGCTTGACCCGAGAGTCGCTGAGAGCTGGATTCGTCAAATAGAAAAGATGTTGGAAACCATGGGTATTACTATGCATACAGACAAGATCGCCCTGGCAAGTTATCAGCTAGAAGGAGAAGCGGATCATTGGTGGTCCTTGATGAAAAATTCTCGGGACACGACAAGCATGACTTGGGCTCAGTTCAAAGAATTGTTTCTAAGAAAATATTTCCCAAACACAGTTAGACAAGAGCGAATTTGGCAATTTCAAACTTTGAAACAGGGTGAGATGTCAGTGACTCAGTATGTGGCCAAGTTTGAAGAGCTGGCTCGATACGCAGCTCGATACGTCGTAGATGAGGAAGAGAAAGCACGAAAATTCGAGTGGGGTTTAGACCCTATTATTAGAGGTAAAGTGTTACCCTTGCGCCTCCATACATTTGCTGATGTGGTGGATACGGCATTGGATACAGAAAGAGAGTGTGCAGACTCAAAAAGGATTTGGATGATGAAAACGAAGAAAGGGGGTCAGTCCTTTGTAGGGCCAAGAAGAAATGACCGAAGGAATGTGGTACGGACACCATACACCAGACCGTCGCAACAACCGCAACAGTAAAGCCAGAAAGGGAGTTTACAAACCAAGCATATTACACAAATCCAATGCTTTCACTGTCATCAAATAGGGCACAAGAAGTCGGAATGTCCCCAGCTTTCTGGGATGGGAAATCAAGTAGGGGGTTCAGGCGCAAATGCTCAAGTTATTGGCGGGCAAAGGACATGGACGAACAAGTCAGGAGGAAACCGAAAGGTTGGACCAACCGGTAATCAAAAAGCCACAGGCAGAGTTTTTGCCCTCCAAGAGGAAGGTAATGAAGATCCATCAGTAATTAGAGGTAACATTGTCCTCTATAATTCTTGGGTTCACGTTCTATTCGATTCTGGCGCATCACATTCTTTTATATCAACATCATATGTTAAATCATTAGGTCTTAAATGTGAACCTTTAGAAACTACTTTACGTGTTGCATCACCCTTGGGAGGAAGTATTAGGGTAGGATTAATCTGTCGAGGGTGTGAATCAGTTGAGCACCAAGTCTTCTTCCTTTAGATTCCTCGACTTAACTTTCTTGTTGAAAGCCCGGGCAATTCTGCGCTGATAGCCTTGAACATGATGCAGTGCTTTCAGTCTTCTCTCATCAAAAAGCATGAGTTCCTCAAATCTGCTCTGCTGCCAATCTGCTTCGGCTATTTGACACTCAGCCAATACTCTCAATGACGGAACCTCAATCTCGATAGGTAGAATGGCCTCCATCCCATAAACCAATGAATATGGAGTCGCTTCGTTAGACGAGTCATCGGCTTAGCTAGTTTAGAAAAGTCTTAAATAAACCGTCGGTAATAGCGCGCCAACCCTAAGAAACTACGAACTTCGAATACTGAGGTTGGCTGCTTCCAATCTAATACTGCTTCCACCTTGGCCGGGTCTACAGCGATTCCATGCTCCGACACGATGTGTCCCAAAATCTGACTTCCTTCGACCAGAACTCGCATTTACTTGCTTTTGTGTACAGCTGGTTGTCTCTTAAAACCTGGAGAACTACTCTCATGTGTTGCTCATGTTCTTCTTCCGACGGTGAATAGACTAGAATATCGTCGATAAACAGCACCACGAACTGGTCCAAGTACAGAGTAAAAATCTTATTCATCAAGCTCATAAACACGGCTGGTGCATTGGTTAATCCAAAGGGCATTACCACAAATTCGTATGGCTTATCGGTTCGGAAAGCAATTTTTGGTATGTCATCATCAGTGACCCGCAATTGATGATCGCCAGATCTAAGATCAATCTTTGAATAACACTTCGAACCTCGAAGTTGATCAAAAAGGTCATCAATCCGTGGAAGTGGATATCGGTTCTTGATCGCACTCGATTGAGTTGCCGATAATCATATCTTAGTGTTCCGTCTTTTTTCTTTGCAAATAGAACTGGTGCGCCCACGGTGAGGAACTTGGTCGGATAAATCCCTTGTCCAGTAATTCTTGCAGTTGCGTCTTCAACTCTCGAAGTTCAGCAGGAGCCATCGGTGTGGTGTCAGGGATATTGGTACAGTACCCGCTTGTAACTCGATACTAAAATTCTACTTCACGATGTGGCGGCAATCCTGGCAATTCCTCAGGAAAACATCAGCGTATTCACAAACTACACGTGGAAGACTTAATTCCGATTGAGCTTCTTCATTAATGATCAAACTTGCTAACCATCCAGCAAATTGTCGACACCACTGCATTTTACGATTTGTCGTGCTCAGGGAATCCTCTCTATCCCCTTAAATTGGAAACACGTTCCACTGGGTGTGCAAACCGTCACCCTCTTGTGGTAGCAATCAATCACTGCTCGGTGGGCGGATAACCAATCCATTCCCAAGATTATGTCAAAATCGGCACATGTTCATGACCGAAGGTCACAACTCAAGTGTAACCCTGACACTTCTAATTCACACCCTCGACAGATTAATCCTACCCTAATACTTCCTCCCAAGGGTGATGCAACACGTAAAGTAGTTTCTAAAGGTTCACATTTAAGACCTAATGATTTAAAATATGATGTTGATATAAAAGAATGTGATGCACCAGAATTGAATAGAATGTGAACCCAAGAATTATAGAGTACAATGTTACCTCTAATTACTGATGGATCTTCATTATCTTCCTCTTGGAGAGCAAAAACTCTGCCTGTGGCTTTTTGAATACTAGTTGGTCCAACCTTTCGGTTTCCTCCTGACTTTGTCGTCCATGGCCTTTGCCCGCCAATAACTTGAGCATTTGCGCTTGAACCCCCTGCTTGATTTCCCATCCCAGAAAGGTGGGGACATTCCGACTTCTTGTGCCCTATCTGATGACAGTGAAAGCATTGGATTTGTGTAATAGGCTTGGTTTGTAAACTTCCTTTCTGGCTTTGCTGTTTGGCTGTTGCGACGGTCTGGTGTATGGTGTCCGTACCACATTCCTTCGGTCATTTCTTCTTGGCCCTACAAAGGACTGACCCCCTTTCTTCGTTTTCATCATCCAAATCCTTTTTGAGTCTGCACACTCTCTTTCTGTATCCAATGCCGTATCCACCACATCAGCAAATGTATGAGGCGCAAGGGTAACACTTTACCTCTAATAATAGGGTCTAAACCCACTCGAATTTTCGTGCTTTCTCTTCCTCATCTACGACGTATCGAGCTGCGTATCGAGCCAGCTCTTCAAACTTGGCCACATACTGAGTCACTGACATCTCACCCTGTTTCAAAGTTTGAAATTGCCAAATTCGCTCTGTCTAACTGTGTTTGGGAAATATTTTCTTAGAAACAATTCTTTGAACTGAGCCCAAGTCATGCTTGTCGTGTCCCGAGAATTTTTCATCAAGGACCACCAATGATCCGCTTCTCCTTCTAGCTGATAACTGCCAGGGCGATCTTGTCTGTATGCATAGTAATACCCATGGTTTCCAACATCTTTTCTATTTGACGAATCCAGCTCTCAGCGACTCTCGGGTCAGGCTCACCTGTGAACACTGGCGGTCTTTGCTTTCTGAACTCAGATAACAATATATCCGCTCATTTGGTTGCGTTCTTCTAAACTTCCTAACTCTTCAAGAATCTGGTTTCCGACTAGTCTTGGCAACTCCTCAGCAGGAATAGGTCTACCACGATTAACGCCTTGATTGCGAGCTGGACG